AACAAATCATGGAGAGTTGTTATTAATCGCGTCACGGGGGGGGGGGGGGGGGGAGTTATGCGGTTAATGTGGTGAGACTGCATCCAAACCAGCCACACACTGCTAATAATAATAATACCCTAACGCACCTGAACTGCTTCATATCCTGCTCAGTGGCTATGGGGAACACTTTATCCAACACACAGTCCCCAACATCAATGGCCAGCCAAGAGTTACAGAGGAAATACCATTTCTGATCTGTGGCAACGTCATGGACCAGCACACGGTTCACATACCTGTGGAGAAACAATGCTGATTCGGAGTGTTTCCACATGAGATTAATTAAAACATTTATATCCCACCTTTCCTTGTGGATTCCTTACAATAATCCCTTACAATAATAGTTAAAAACATTTTCTGTTAAAACCAAAATAAAATAGTAAAACTCAATTCCCCCCCCCTAAAAGATGCTTGCCATTCAAACCCCCTCAAAAGCCCTGGCAAACAGACAGGCCCTCCTGAAATCCCCCAGGGAGGGGGACCCCCTCACGTCTTCAGGGAGCCCATTCCACAGGGCCAGAGCCACATGGGAAAAGGCCTGGGCTCTGGTTGATGCCAGAAAGACCACCCTAAGTCATGGGATAGCCAACAGATGGCTGCCTGGTGACCGTAGTTGGTACACAGGGACGTACGGAAGGAAACAGTCAAATATGTGAGTCCGAGGTTGTGAAGGGCTTTAAATTTTTAGATGTCTAAAAGCTGCTGGTGATGTGACTGTACATCCTGGCTAAAATAGCTTTAAAGGCCTTTTCATAACAAGAGGCAGCATCTTGTGAGCATAGGGCTGCCAACCTCCAGGTGAGACGTGGAGATCTCTCAGAATCACACTTGATCTCTGGAGGACAGAGATCAGTTCCCCTGGAGAAAATTTCAAATTAGGGAATGACAAACTTTGGCAACATCAGTAGCATACGTATTGAAAATGTAATATGAAAAGTATCCCCTAGATTCTGAAAGAAGAAATCCAGTAGTCGTTTTGAGAGTTTTTATGCCAATGATTGAAGCAGCAGTATTATTTTGATCTTCTTTGGAGGCAAAAAGGATAGGGGCTGACCTGTGCATCGTTTAGGTAAGAGCCTGGGAGCAAAAGGCCACAGGGAGGTATGTCGGTAAATATTTAGACAGTAGACCAGTTATTTCCTTCTGTCCTTCTTGGGAAGTACAGGAGAAAGAGACACGCATATTGCAAAGGGAGGGTTAAAGGAATCTATGTCCCTTTGCCTCTTGCCTACCAGGATGGGCTGTCTCCTGAGTTGTCATGCCACAGTCTGATGCTCTGCAGTTCCCCCAGAGGGAAGAGAGTACAGAGCAGGAACACGTCCACCCCTCCTCGCTCAAAGACCGGCATCTCGGGGTCCACCAGGTGATGTGGCTCGCTCTCACCTTCCTGGCCATACAGGGTGAGGGTCACCTGGAACAACAATGAGATGTGGGGAGTGATGACTGCTGCAGTTCCCACGTGAGCATCAGCTTGGTGGTCAATTTTGCATATGTGTGCCGCCAAATCTAGAGAATTTTCACTGTGCTGAACGAGCGTTCGAGCACAAACAAGTAGGAATGCAAAAACAGGTTTGGAAGTTGTCTAGCTTGGGGCAACATTTTTGTGTTCTGTGCAAAGCCCACCAAGCCCCAATCATGGGACATCTTGTGTAATGGTCAGGCCACCCTGACTTGGATGTAGAGATGCCAGGCTCTGACAGAACTATGGCTTGCCCAAGGTCATCCAGCAGCTGCAAGTGGAGGAGTGGGGAATCAAACCCGGTTCTCCCAGATTAGAGTCCACTCTCCACCCCCAAATCTCCTGGAGTTTCCCAACCTGGATCTGGCAACCCTACCGAACCATATCCCCTGTTGGTGGCCAGGGGGAATCTGGCAAACCTACCTGGATGGCCCGGCTACTCCAAACTTGCCAGATTTGGGAAGCTAAGTAGGGTCAGCCCTAGTTCACAGGATGGGTGACCACCAAGGAGGACCAGCATTGCTCAAATGCTGAGGCCTGCCGCCTCCATTAATCTCTTGCCTTGAAAACCCTTCAGGGCCACCCTAAGTTGGCTGTGACTTGACAGCACTTTCCACCACCAATGGTCAGGCCTAGCTAGTGCTCCTGCAAGTTCTCCAGGTCCAAATGTTTCTAGAAAGAGCGCTCCACACACCGGTTATCTCTTTAAGACAGTAGAAATCGCCCATTTGCAATGATCATCAACCAAAAAAGCTACATGACTACTGCATGATAAGACATAACTGTTAAATATATAACTATACCTTGGCTGCATCTACATAGTTTTCCTTTACTTCCATCTCTAACATGGGGTCTACAGCTCATCCGTCCTCCAGCAGTGGCTCTTTTAAGGTGGGAATCCCCTGACAACCAGAAGCCTCACTTGCCCACTTTCTTAGAAAATGGGATGAGTGCCATGTTGGGGAGCGGTATTCAGAAGAGCCACAGGTGGCATGTTGAAGAGCTGAGTGTTGCTCCCAAGCCACAGAGTAAAGATCACGACTCTAAGGCTTATGTCCCATGCAGGTTTGCTGGAGATGGAAAGTGCCGTCAAGTCACAGTGGACTTGTGGTGACCTCATGGGGTTTTCAAGGCAAGGGATGTTCAGAGATGGTCTGTCATTGCCTGCCTCTGTGTAGCAATCCTGGTATTCCTTGTAGTGATGACCACAGGAATAAACAGCTTTAAAAGGGGATTAGATAGATTCAGGGAGGATAAGTCTATCAATGGCTATTAGCAGGGGTCATTTCCTGCAGGAGCGCACAGGAGCGGAGCTCCGGCAGTAAAGAGCCCAGGGGGCGGGCACATGCAACAAGCCCCACCCCCTGCTCCCAGCAGCCCTCAGTCAGAGCAAGAAGCAGCCAGGTAAGTTGCAGAGCTCCCCACTGGCCCAAAACAGTCTAGTGGCACCTTTAAGACCAGGTTTTATTTAGGTACAAGCTCTCCTTCCTCTGTGAGGACAGATCTGCACGTTCCCCCCCCCCCAATAGCTAGCAATCCAAAACAGTCCAGTGGAGCCTGAGCAGTGGGTGTTGCCTTCTGACACACTTCCAGTGATGTCACGGGGTTTGGCATATGCAAATGTTATGCTAATGAGTTATGCTAATGAGCTCCTGCACCTCTTTTTCTACGAAATGACCCCTGGCTATTAGACATGATGACTGAAGGGAACCCCCACATTCAGTGGCACTAAGCAACATCAGGGGAAGGTCTCGGCCTCTGTGCCCTGTAGTTGGCCCTCCGTGTGAGACAGGATGCTGGGTGAGATGGACCACTGGTCTGACCCATCAGGGCTCTTCTTATGTTCTTTTGCTCCTGGGAGGACTCCCATCCAAGTACCAGCCAGGGCTGACCCTGCTTAGCTTCTCAGATCTGACAAGATCAGGCTAGCCTGGGCCATCCAGGTCAGGTCTTAGCTAGGAACAAGTCCCACTGAATTCACTGCCCTTTAGCAGTGCATAGACGGAAGAGAGCTGTAAAATGACAGAAGGCACAGGCCTATCCCGCACTCCACTGGTACCTGGGCGGTTGTGGCTGCCCCTCGGCGGTGCCCTGTAAAAAGGGTCACCAGGTAGCGATACTGAGCCAAGGGGTCATTATCCGCCAGCACTGTTATCTTCACCTAGAGAGAAGAAGAGCAGCATCAGTGAGACAGGTGGAAACAAACATTACAGGAGATCTTAACCAAGTGGATGGGAGTAATCCATCTTACTACTGAACCAGTGTCTGTCAGTTGAAACAAAAAGTGGAAGACTCTCGAGCCATACAGAAGTTTTCCTTCGCTGGAACTGAAAAGCACCTTGTCATCTCTTGTTCCTTGACCTGTTCATGGCTGTTTGAAAGGCTGCTTTCTTGCACGCCTTCTTAAAACAGCAGTGAAATGCAGTCGGCTTCCCACACAATGCCTGATGGGGTTCTACACTCCCCCATCCCACTGTGCTGCTGCTCCAAACGGCAGGAAATTGTTTAAATAATTAAATCGATCACGCCTCGCATAAGCAACACTGGAAGAGTCAGTGAGGCGTAGTAGCCAGAGTCCCAGACTAGGATCTCCGAGACCAGGTGTGGGGATCCCAGCAGCCGGGACCATCATGCACCAGGGCTTAATTTATCTGGCAAGCCCTCCCTTGGCCTTAGACAGCGAGGGATGGGGCTTGGGTACCACCCTCATCCACCTCCTCTCCCATAGCTCTGCTCCCTTCTGGACTGGAAGCCAGAGCTGGTCTGTTCTCCTTGGCCTCCTTCTTCAAGCCTCTTGAAGGCCTTCGCCAGACCTGGGGCAGGCCCAGTGACCTGCCTCTACACAAAAGCCTTATGGGGGTGTGGGCCAGCCCATGAAGGACCAGGAGTTCCTCCTGAGCAATGTCTGCCTCCTTACTTACCTTTCCCATCCCTGGAGCTTCCCAGTAGCTGAGTGTCAGACAGCTGGCTATCAAAGGGCCAGCTGTCAGGGGGATGCCTGATAGTCTTAAAGGGCCAGCCGTCACTGATCTCCTGGCTGGTGTGCAGCTGTTACTATGGTGCATCAGTCATCCCTGATGGGCTTGATCCTGGGGGGGGGCTGAGGAGGAGGAGGCAGGGTGTCGTCTCCATGCACTGACACCCTATATAGAAATATTGATTTCTATAGGTTTCATGTTTCCCCTGGAATGCCTCTGGCTGATACCCTGCTGTGTTGATTTCCTATTGAAGCCATATGGCCTCAACAGGCCTGCCATATAACCCTATATTCTTCACACTTAAAGGCTGGCAGAGAACAGATGGCCTAGCAAACAGGCAAAAACCCACGTAGGCCATGGGTGGGTTGGAATTTGGGGGGCACATGACCGCGGGTGTGCCCTTCAGAGCTCTGACCATTCAGATGTTGTCCCCATGACAACCAAAAGGTTGACCACATCCCCTGTCTACTTGTGATTGTCTGATGGCCACAGCTGATTATGATTAGATTGGGCTATAACTGTCTGACCCCTTGGGGGAGAGCTCAGATTTTCCTTGCTCTCTCGGCTTGTTTGAATTGCACCTGGGAAATGCTGTCCCAGGTCGAACAAAGGACTGCTTTGTGAGCTGAACATGTGCTTGCAAAGATGGAATTCTTGTTTCTCAAGATACCTGGACTCTTCCAATGGACAATATTGAACTCTTGGATGCTACCCTGAAGTTGGTAAATATGCTTCTTACTGTTTAGTTAAAGCAAAACTTGCCTTGGCTTGTTACTTTGAATCCTTATAGTCTAATTGCTAAGTTCTGTGCTGAATAAACTTATTCTGGTTTTCTAACTTGTCTGGATTGTGGTAACTGGACTTCAAGGCTAAACTCCTGTGCCTAGCTAGTCACATGCTACCTATGTAAGATTAAGTGCATCTCTGAGCTAGAGTTGCTAATGTGTAAAACCCACATGTCAGCTGAGATTCTGGGATCTCTAATCTCAGGCTGGTGAGGGATTAATCTTAGAGATCCCTGGTGGCTATTGTTTTAGATTCAGAGAGCCTATCTCTCTGGGTTCTTGGGTAATGTATTGTACCAGTGTAGAATTCTCCCCCTCATCCAGGAATGGCCTGGGGGGCAGAATCTATACAACCTCCCCCACAAGATGCAAATCCCCACTCTGCGATGGAAGCTTCCTGGGTGACCTTGGGCCAGCCACACACTCTCAGTAACGCGCCTCACAAGAAAAATTCAGGTGGGGTCGCCGTATTGGTCTGAAGCAGCAGAACAAAGTTTGAGTCCAGCGGCAGCTTCAGACAAATGTCTGAAGAAGTGTGCTTTGCACACAAAAGCGTAGACTTTGAATAAAGCTTTGTTGGTCTTCAAGGTGCCACCGGACTCAAACTTTGTTCACCTCACGAGGCTGAGATCAGGATAAAATGGAGGACGGGAGAATGATGTCAGCCCACTTGGGGAGAAAGGTGGAGTATAAATGAAGTAAATAAAATAAAATAAGTGATAATAATAAATAAGCACTGGGTTAAAACGTTCTCCTGTTCCATGTTGATCTTAGAAGCATTCGTGGCTGATAATCGGCAGTGCTTTCAGGCATGCGCAGTTTTGAGAAAGCCCAGTGCAAAGCTTGCAGGCAGGCATATGAGTCCTTCAGTGCAAACCACAAGCACCAGATGACTGGCTCCCACGTGCTCATCAGACATAGTAAGTTCTGCATGTTCATGGTGAGATCTGCAGCATCCTTACATTTTACTGCAGCCGCAGGCAGTTAGAATACAGTGCCTCCATGTGAGTGCATACTGATTCATTGCTTAGAAGCCTGCAGTTCAGGTCAGCTAGAAGTTTTGTAGACTGTTGTCACAGACACAGTCTGTTTTGTGAACTTGGCAGGGTACGTTCAATTTGTTTGAGTTTATCTGCATGTAATTTCTTTGCAATGGGTTACTTGCTTGAAGTCCTCTTTTATAGTTCTTCTGGAAGGTGGCCTGAAGAAAAGAAATACAGAAACGAAGAGAAGCCACAGACCACTTTAGAGAAGACCTTGGCTGTACAGGAAGAGGGCTTGGGTGTACTCTAATATATTGCATTGTTTAAGGAGTCCTGTGTGGAGCATATTGATTATGCATGAATATATTAGCCACGAGAAGTCCTTGGCTGTACAGGAAGAGAGTTTGGCTGTATTCTAATGTATTTAAGCTGTTTAAGGAGTCCTATGTGGACCATATTGAATATGTATGAATGTATTAAATGTTAGTTGTTTATAAACTTTGGGATAGATTTAGAACTTTACATGTCCACCTGTATTTTTTACACAGTGCTACAGCCTTGGTGCTGTGATTTTGTATCAATCATCCTTACATAAAACAGCATTCAGCAGCCTACAGTGATGTTTATAAAACATATAAGAACATAAGAGATGCCAATGTTGGATCAGGCCAAAGGCGCATCCAGTCCAACACTCTGTCACACAGTGGCCAAAAATACTAGGTGCCATCAGGAGGTCCACCAGTGGGGCCAGGACATTAGAAGCCCTCCCACTGTTGACCGCCCCAAGCACCAAGAAGACAGAGCATCCCTTGCCCCAGAGTCCCTATCTATACCTTGTGGCTAATAGCCACTGATGGACCTCTGCTCCATATGCTTATCTAATTCCATTTTGAAGCCATCCATGCTTGTAGCCGCCACCACTTCCTGTGGCAGTGAATTTCATGTGTTAATCACTCTTTGGGTGAAGAAGTACTTCCTTTACAGTACTCAGGGTGGAAGCAGACCACATAAACAGCTTATAGAGCCCCTTGGGGTCTAATAAGATGAGATACAGAGAGATCTGTGAGTGGATTGGTAAATAGCAGCAAAAAGGAGGGGAATTCAAAGTGGGAGGGGCAGACTCAATCCATTCACAGGGCTTCCAACCCCTAGTTCAGATGAATGCAAAGACACTTATCTGAGCAAGTTTGTAGCCCGTTCTCTGATGTTTAAAACGTTTTGTAATCATGCCATTATCAATGGGAATTGGCCGAAGAATATTCCTCACTCAACTTGGTCAGTCTTTTCCATCTGAAGAGTTCCTATTGACTCAAAAAGCTCTTAACATGAAAAGATGGTGGACCAGTAACACCCTGCACCAATGTAAGCAGCAGAGGTGTCAGGGAACCGTACTGGCATTTAAGTGCTTGAATGTGGCATAGCACCATCTTGTGGGTACTGGCTGTATTTAAAATGCTTGCAAAACTAGGGGGATGAATGCTAGACCAACACTTTCCATATGGCGGTTGAGGATTATTATGTCAGCATTCCAGTTTTCTTTCTTGGAAATCAAGTTGGAGTATATCAGGGGTCCCAGGAGGGCACTGAACAGGTTCCGCTTCAGATCATATCCTGTGGCCTCCTGCTTTCTGACCTCTTATCTAGCAGGTGACCTATCAAGGGCCTCATCACACATTATTTTTTCAGACCTATGCAAAAATTCTGAAGTGTACACCTAAAGGCAAATCAGACACGACAAAGTTCATCGCTTGTGTCTCTCTATTCCACCCAGCAAAATCTGAAGCCTTCCTCCAGCCAAAAGAGCCTTCCTCTAACAGAAGGAAGGGTCCTTGGGCTGAAGGAAGGCTTCTAACTTGGCTGAGTGAAGAACAGTGGATGGACTGCGACTCATTTGGTATACAGCATCTGCTTTGCATGCCGAAGGTCCCAGGTTCAATCCCCGGCATCTCCATTTAAAAGGGTCAGGTAGCAGGTGATGTGAAGGACCTCTGCGTGAGACCCTGGAGAGCTGCTGCCAGACAGAGTAGACAATACTGACCTTGATAGACCAAGGCAGCTTCATTTCAGGAGGGGCCATGGCTTTAGCGGCAGAGCATCCCCAGCATCTCCAGATAAAAGCATCTCCAATAATGGGCCAGATCTCCGTCTAGCCTTAATGCCACTAATGATGGAGCCACAGCAGGCTTTGCCATGAAGAGAGGGAATCCTTTGCATCGCAGAGAAGCACTAATTGATTAGAAAACTTACTTTGGCATCGTCCTGGATGTCTTTTCTTCTGGCCCAGATCAGAACCAGCAGGTACACAAGGAAGATGCAGCTTACGGTTGTCACAACCACGGGATTGTCCACAAACGTGGCGAACAATTCCACAGTTTTGCTGACGTCAATGGTGTTGGGCATGACGAAGAAAGAGCTCCCGAAGAATGTCAGGTGGTTACAGAGACACTGGGTGCTGCTGGGGATTGTTTTGGGGCCAACCTGCAAGCAGAGGAACAGCCTTTATGACCTGCCATCTAATCCCCCCCTGCTATGACTATCAGAGAAGCGGCCAGCTGAGCTTGTATGTAGCAGAAGTTGCATTCTCTTAAAGAAATCCATTTTTGCAACATGCCACAGCCCAGCACCCCTACTGAGGTCAGCCGGCTTTTCTCCACTCACATGGCATCCATAGCTGTTCCAGTTTCTTTGGTGCTCATCCCAAAATACACACTGGGATACAAAGCAAGTGATGGAGAGGTTTATGTCACTGAGGGCCACCAGCCCCAGTTCAGTTTCCGCTCTCACTGTGAAATAATAAGTTCCTTCTCCAAAAATGAGGTCTTCCGGATGAAAAACCCAGGAATACACTGTATCTGGAAAAGAGAAGGCTCAGATGAACACCAAACAGTTTACCAATCAGTACAATCAGATTAACCAATGTACCAAGTCCTTTTCAACCATTCAGTTTTGCAGCTCTGCTTTGCATAACGGAACAGCATGCTACCTGCAATCCTCCCTGTATGTGAACAGGGCAATGTGTGTATTTTCCACTCTGAATACGTGCAAGGCTGTAATTCAGGTAGTCTGGACTTCTGACCATGTGTGCTATTCACACAAAATGGCAACCCACATATCAAGAAGATCACCTGTAGCCCAGTCTTCCCTTACACGTGTTCATGATTGGAAAAGGCTCCAGAGTAGCCATTGGCTCTGTGGATCATATTCTGCTTGATTGTCCCAAATTTTCAACTCTAAGAGTTGAATCAGGACTTCAGAAGCAAAATCATCCTGGTTACGTAGAGACAAAGACAAACAAACTACCCTGCGTGTGGCAAAATGTCTAACAGCTGTTGCCAAATCACATGACAACTTTTCCAGTAGCAGCCTTTAAATTCTTCCATGTTTTCCCATGGCATGAGGATTATTGTGGGATGAGGGTTTGCTGTTTATGACTCTGGTTGCAAAAACAGTAAAGACAATAAATAAAATATTAAGAAGATCACCTGTAGCCCAATCTCCCCATGCACATGGTTGGCTCACCAAATGTTCATGACTGAAAAGGGCTCCAGAGTAGCCATTATTCGTGTCATTTCAAATCTATCTGGAAATTTGAGTCCCAACAGATACAACATTGTTTGGGAAAGCCCTGGAACAATTCTGTGGATAGTAAGCAAGTAATGTAGTTTGTAGTATAAGAATGAATTTTACCTCTTGTGTTTCTGTCAAAAGGAACATGTGTTAACAAATCGTGGTCAGTCTCATTGGGTTGATAGCCATATCCCAGGTACAGGACAAGTGGAACATTTTGGTCCAGCTCCAGATGAATCACTAGAGATGTATTTACTGAGGTCACATTGACTTGGAGAGCACTGAAGTTTCCCAGATTCAACACAGTTCTGTCTTCTTGGATTTCCAAACTCCTGGGTAGCATTATCTGCATATAAAGTTAATAACTCTGGAAATGTACCTAAGACTTGAGAACCTTACAGATAGAAGTACATCACCCAACTGAGGAAGTATGAATATATGTTCCTCTTTCAATAATGTTCCCAGTGACATTCCAGAAATTGTACAGTTCTGCTTTGAATATATGTGGATTCGATGTTCCCAGTGACTCAAAAACTACACATTCCGGAAATTGTACAGTTCTGCTTTGAATATATGTGGATTCACTGGTCCCCCATATAAAAAAGAAACCCTATCTATGGAAAACCATTGAGTCTGAAAAATTACCTCAATGTCTTCTGTAAGGTTCCTCACCGGAATGACCAGCCCATCTAGGCCGGTGAGGGTGAGGCCTCCCACAGCTCCGTGGATATCAAAGTTGTCAGTTGAGGAAAAGGGGTTCACAGAAAAGCTCACCATCTACAAGAAAGGATATACTTGAATAATCAACGACACTTGCTCAAATCTTCACTGAGTTACTCAAGTGCCTGGATCCCATTCCACCAGAAACTTATTTGGAACAGGCAAGGAATTGGAGGGATGAATTTATGATTCCCACAAGCTCTAGAGTAGGAATCCCCAAGCTTCTTGAGCCTATCATCACCACACAACATGTGTGTGTGTGGTTTTGCAGCCAGTCACAGAAAGGCTCCCCATATGCTGGGACCAATTACAACATGCTGGGAGATTCCAAGCCCAGCCTCCTGCTACAATGGAGGCAGCTGTTTCCAAAGGAGGTCTTCCTGAAGACACCAAGGTGATGCCTCTTGAGCTCTTCTGAAGCACCTCTTGCTTCAGGGAGGTGGAAGAAACCTGTGACTAGCTCTTTGTTCTGGTGAAGAAGTAGCAAGCAGGCACCAGGAAATGTATTGGTGGGCACCAAGTCAGGAGGGATCACTGCTCTAGAGGCTTGCATAAACTGACAGACAAACATTTGAGTGAATTTGGTGGCACAACTGATCTGCTGGAAGGCCAAGATTAGGTCATACACGGTCAGGCATCATAAGGAGAGAAAGGGGGGAGGAAACAAGGTTCCAGGGTGAAGTGGCATCCTTGTAAAAACTATGCACTTGCCCGGATATCCACTGTCTCATCACTGGCTCCTGAGATGCTGAGAGAAGAGGCAGAAGGCAGGGTGAAGCTGGCAGCGCTGGAGTTGGAGATATTGATGGGTGTGCTGTCCACATCATCTGTCTGCAACCTTTCCACACAAGGATCAGAAAAAAGCCAGAAAATAGGTGAGAGGAGATGGAAATAAAGAAGGAGGTCTAAATGAACGGTCCCCACAAGACACTGCATGGACCAAAGTGGTCGCTGGGTGCAAACTGAAAGGTACCCATAGCACAGTGATGGCGAACCTTTTAGAGACCGAGTGCTCAAACTGCGACCCAAAACCCACTTATTTATCGCAAAGTGCCAACACGGCAATTTAACCTGAATACTGAGGTTTTATTTTAGAAAAAAAACCACTCATACATTAACTTAAGATGATCCAAACAAAGTAAGGAAAGCAATCCCAAATGCTTTCATTTACTTAAAATTATTTGGCAGAGAATTCGACACTTTAATGATGGTCTGGGCCTGGCTGGGGCGATGGCACGTGTGCCCAAAGAGAGGGCTCCGACACCTCTGGTTTATTTGTTTGTTTGTTTATGCTCTCTGATTTGAATTTATGGTTGTTCTAGATTTTAGGTTGTTCTCTGATACTATGATTTGTTTTCAGTTGTCAACCACTTTGAGGTGAGAGGAAAAGCGGTAGGAAATTTCACCGTAATTAAATTGTCCTTCTGTACATTCTTCTCCTGCCTGGTGTGTATTTTCTCAAAATATCATCACCCCAACTTGACCATCTGAGTTGCTTGTGCAGACTTCAGGGGGGGAAATGCTTTGGGGGAGAAGGAGATGGGCACTAGGAGGACAGGGGCTGATACCCAGGAAGACCATGTTTGGAATCACTTGATGGATGGCATCAGAGTGGAAAATCTAGGATGTTTTTGCTCTCACTTTGCCATTAGCTGACTGGAAGGTGGGAGCATTCAGTTACCAAGATTGTTAACATTTTTCCTTGAGGGAGTTTAGAAGCTGTTGGGAGTAACAGCAAATGTCATAGAAGGAAGAAGAAGAAGATAGGATTTATACCCCACCCTTCATTACCCAAAGGTGTCTCAGAGTGGCTTACAAACTCCTTTCCCTTCCCCTCCCCACAACAAACACCCTGTGAGGTAGGTGGGGCTGAGAGAGCTCTTGACAGAAACTGCTCTTTTTCAAGAACAGCTCTTATCAGAACTACGGCTTGCCCAAGGTCATCCAGCCAGGTGCAAGTGGAGGGGTGGGGGAATCAAACCCGGTTCTCCCAGATCAGAGTCTGCGCACTTGACCACTACACCAAACTGGCTCTGGAAGAGGAGCTCGATACCTCTGGAAGAGGAGCTCGATACCTGTTGATGTACATAGCCACAGAGGAAGCTGTTAGCACAGTGGGTTCATTGTCAGGCAGTTTCCCAATGAGGAGGGCACTCTGGAGGTTGTCCACAGTGGTCAGTAGTTGCTGGGACACCAGGCTCTAGGAGAGAAGAGATTAACCATCTTTCAGTAGCAGTACTGACTGCACTGTTCATTCTTTGTCCTGCTTTGACCTTGTTCCTGAAGCACCCTGGTCCTGTGAACAGCTGTGAGGGTTTATGTGATGGAGTAGTAACTGTTCCTTCATAAAGGTAGGACTGAGTCATTGGTGCTGGAGCTGAAACCGTTTACCCACCTGGGTTGGAGATTTACCAGCTTCCTAGTCCCAATTTCCTGACCCTGAGGAGCTGAGAGCAAAAATGTCTTTCCCAAACTGATGCTCTAGGAATTTCCCCACTGAAGACCATAGAGACTAGAGGCAGCCTAGAGCATCACCAGAAGTGACATCGCATCCTCCACAAACTCTGCCCTCCCCAGGCACTGCCCCCCCAAACTCCCAGCATTTGCAGAGGCAAGCAACTGAAGCAAACAAAGTAACAAAGCAAGAAAATCACCCTTATCAGTGCTCATGCTGCAGTACGCCATCCTTTTAATGTGCCACGGGTCTCTGTCTTTTTAGCATCATCAAGTATGCAGAAAAGAAAGCTCACACCTGTTTGAATTCTGGGGTAGAAGCCTCCTCAGTCCTGTTCTGAACAGTAGCTTCGAGGACATTGTTCACTGCATTGAACAGGTACGTGGCAGCATCCTTGCGCTTCTGGTCATCCTCTCCATCTTCAGGGGTGACAATCAGCAAGGATTCACTGACATCCTTCAGAGTATTACCAGCTTCAACCTGGAAAGGACAAGAAGTCCAGTATCTCTGTACAACTCTTTGCCTGCTTGGTGGATCCTGTGACTATGATCACCTCGTCCTTGCTAAAGCTAAGGGATGGTGGATGTAGGCGGAGGAACCATAGGTCATTGTGGTAGAGCACATGCATGATGTTCCCAGGTTCAAATCCAGCTCAAAGAGCATAGGTTGGGTAAGATCTACTTTTGCCATCTGAAGGTTACAAGCTCTATATTCAGAACTTTAGGCAAATATCTTTCCAGACACAATGTCCTTCTTCCAAAGCATTTTAATTCTATCAGTTTTATCAGTGGGGAGAGAACACCATGAAAAGGGGCCCATTAACATGAGCACAATTATTACTGCCCTCACTCTGAATTGGCTTTGTGATGTCGTCACACAGTCAAATCTGATTAGCTACATGGCATTGTGACATCATTACACTGATTACATGTTCCCCACTTGGCTGAGAAAACACTATTTTCTGTCCCCCAGTTCAAATTCTTATTTTGTGGAATCCACAATTTTTCTTTCTCTGAAGACCACCCTCACACCCAAAATTCTTATATCAATAGTCCATTGACTGCATTACAAAGACCACATGCAGATTATCAGAAATATGCATCACCTGTGCAGAAGAAGAAAGCTCTTCACTCCTGTAAGTGATTTCTTTGAGCACCTCGGACATCTTGAGAGCTGTCTGCATGGACGTTACGCTGACAGCCGACAGAGTGGTCAGCATTAACTCTCTCAGCTTGGGACAGAAGGAGAGATGGTTGGGAAAAAGAAAACAGATGATAGATGAGATGGGGGGGTGTTACTGTCCATTCACATGTAAAGCATGAATGGGAAGGTTTCGCTATTACACCAAACAGAGTGCGGGCATGCGGGAAGCTGTAACAGCACACTTCCTCTCTGCACTTCATTGTTGAAATTATTCTTTGTATGGCGGAAGCAAACTGACACATTGCAAAGTCTGTCTGTCTACTGCAAAGACTTCATATCAGACATGTGATGGGAGTTTTGTGCTTTTAGTGCCAATTCTGATTGCAACCATGGAGTATATGCAGAAGCAGCTTCAGCCTTACCCCCTTGTCATTTTCATGTCCTGAAACCACCCCATATAACCACTGTTTGCTCCACTGAAGAAATCATATTTGTGGCTTCATGTAATTTTTAGCAGCGGAGTAAATAGCAGCTCCCTGGGGACATGAAAAAGGTACGGGGGAGGGAGGCTACAGACCCTTTTTCATGTGCCCTAGAGTTGGGATCAGAATCAAGCCCGTGTGCATCTGGAAGGTACAGCATTCCCATCACATGTCTGATACAAAGTTGCGGTGCACATGAGGACTTAGTAATGTGTGAATTGGCCCAGGTTCACTTCCAGTGTCATGGCCAGGCTAGACAGGGGCAGACTGTGATGTTAAAACAGGTCTGGAGCTAGCTGAGCTACGTGGGCCCTTTGGTGGTGGCAGTGGCACACAGTCCACTGTGGCAGTGATGATCTGTGGCCAGACGACCCTGCAGTGCTGCCAGCAATGCAAAGACTTGGCTGTGTCTGCTCTTGGCTGCCAGTGGCCCCACAGGGCAGCAGCCCACCCAGAACTTTCCCCCGTAAGTAGAAGGGCCAGTTCAGTCCGCCCCTGTGGGCTGGCAGAAAAACGCTTCAAGTGACAGAGAAGAGCAGAGGAACGCAGGGAAGGGGACTTGGCCTCAAGGGGCAAAATGCAGTGGCTGACCTCTTTCCGGGTATCTGTCCGTAGAGTTGAATTAATGCTCTCTTCTTTTGTCTCTTGATTAAGGAGGGATGACACCGACTTGTACAGCTGGAACAGGGACATGCTGCTGTTCTCTCCTTTCAGGATGGTGCTTGATTTTTCTGATATAATGGCCTGCAGGGTCTGGTTCCCCGTGCTTATATCTTCATTTTGAACCTGATGCAACAAGAGGAACTACTGAGGTGGCTTCTTCCATAACCACCACCAAGGGCATCCCAAAATACCATGTAACTGCAATTATGCACTTCATTTATAATCGGTGCCCTAGTTTGCATTTTTTTTTTTTTTGCCATGCACAGTGATTCTCAGCTGGTGTCACATGGCTTCCCGGGGAGCATTCTACAAACTGGGGGGGAGGGATCCAGAAATTGGGGAGGGGTATGTGTGATTTGTTCACCCCTCTCACAATGGCTGATGACCAGCGGGTAATTGTTTGAGACTGCTCATCCCACTTCCCCCCCAAGAAAAAATCCCAGATCCTACATTTCTTGTCCAGACCTTTTTAAAAACTGGCACATGGCAAATGGGGGGGGGGAATAGAGAGGCACTAGAATCTCGCTGAATGTATGCCTGAGATCTGTGCATCATAGATGTATAACTATAAATATAGCTGTATAAATAAAACCACCTTGTCTGGAGTGCGTTTCTTATATCCTAATTTTTGTACCAGTTGCTTTGGGGGGCTTACAGTGATGATGCTGCCCATTTAGTGTGTGGGAGTAGTGGATGAAAGGCTAGGAACCACTGTAACTATGGCTGGCCCTTGGACTTGAATGCTAATCAGCCTTGTTGTGTGCAGTATACAGCTTGGCTTGTTTTTCCAGAGTCCCTGGCTTTGCAAGCACATTTTTTCCATGACGCACTTGCCATCTGCATTCAGTATTATTTGGGTTCAGATTGTGAAGACTGATCAAGGCAACTGGTGGTTAATAGATTCTCCTGCTTAGCAGGGGCATTATTTCAGGTTTCAGTGGAGGGAGGCCAAGGATATTTAGGCTGAGCAAAGAGCCACAGCAAGGCTTAAAGATTTGCTGTTGGATGCATTCACGATAATTGATAAAAGCACTGTATTTAATTAACATTAGTCATGGGGTTTTTATGCCTCACAGTAATCAGATATGGTAAGCCCTGTGTACAGTTCTCCCAATACTTGCAGTCACCATTTTGAGCAAAAAAAGGGCAATACTTGTATTTTCCAGCTTCAGTACACAACATCAGAAACCCAGGTTTGTTGTGGTGCATGTTTGTGCCTACCAAAGCTTGAAAAACATGCACACAAAATAGCAACCATGCACATCAGAAAGATCGTATGCACGACATTGGCCCAATGCATGAGTTAGGAGAGCCAAAATGTAACAACTGAAAAGGGCTCTTGTTTAAAATTCTGCTGTGGGGACACCCCAGCTGCCAGGGTCATACTGTTTACTGATAGCGATAGCATGGCCTGACCTGGAGGCTTGGAGAAAGTAACAAACCCCCTTCTACACCAGCAGGATGGGATAAAACACCTCCACCCTTGCTTGGGTAGGGATATGGACTGTGTCAGCAAATTGGCCGTGCATTTGAATCAGTGCATCTTTAATCTGTGCATGGTTCTCATTTTCTTAATGGGATCTTATATTTTGTGTTCTTACAACTTGTCATTACTCTATTAGCTGCCTAGAGTCAGAGGAAATAAGGCAGGGTAAGATATTCTAAATAAGTAAAGCTGAATCCAAACAGCTTGTAACTCTTTGCAGGATGTGTCTAGTTCTAGAATTTGGCAAGTCTGTAGTGAGTTGGGCTTTTATAACTGAGGGGAGGGGGAGAGAAACCATCGACAAATGCCTCTTTGCCATGCCTCCTTGACGCAGGGACTCAGGTCTCCTTGGTGCTGCAATCAGGGTTGCCAGCTCCAGGTTGGGAAATACCTGGAGATTTTGGGGGGGGGGTGCCTGAGGAAGGTGGGGTTTGGAGAGAGGAGGATCTTCGGTGGGGTATAATGCCATAAAGTCTACCTTTCAGAGCAGCCCTTTTCTCCAGGTGAACTGATCTCTGTCACTTGGAGCTCAGCTGTAACCCCAGGAGATCTCCAGCTACCACCTGGAGGTTGGCAACCCTGGCTGCAACAAATGGACATGGCTGTGCCTTTGCAATTATTTTGCCTAAAGCCTTGACTACCAACAGCTATTTCTTTTAGGCAAAGCCCATAGTGATAAATTCATCCACAGCAATAAAATGGCATACTCATAACAATTGACAGTTATACCTTCGTCCACTTCCCCAGATTTCAAAATTCAGTTAATTTTAAAAGCTGCTGAAACAAGATGCACGTACCCTGACTGTGGCCTTTGTGTGGACGGTGTCCCCGTAGCTGTTACTCACAGTGATGGTAACGTGTAAAAGGCAGTTATTGTCCTCTTCTCCGATTGGGAGGTAAACTGAGGTTAGGTCAGGATCTTGGCCACAGTGCAGGAGAGAATCTGGAAGGAGCAAGAGGGGGGGAAAGTGATCCAGCAGACGGTGTGGGAAAGAGATCTAATGCATCACATCTGTTTTGGACTCCAAGACCAGTGGTACTCACTCTGTGGCTCGTGGAAAGCCACATTCAGAATTGTATGTGTTTAAAGTACCATCGGGTTACAACCGATCTATGTGACCTTGTAGGGTTGTCAAGAGAGAGACAGTTTGGTGTAGTAGTTAAGAGCAGTGGACTCTAATCTGAAGAACCGGGTTCGATTCCCCACTTCCCCACTTGAAGCTAGCTGGGTGACCTTAGGCAAGTCACAGCACTCTCGGCCTAAAAATAAGCATAGCTCACCACCTAGTGGTGCCAAAAAAGAGCTACAGCTTTGGCAGCCAAACAATCCCTTCCGGGATCTCCTGGCTATTCCACACACAATGCCATATGATACTTAATTAAATTAGGGCTGTCAAGGTCAGAGACGTTCAGAGGTGCTTTGCCATTGCCTCCCTCTGCGTAGTGACCCAGGACTTACTTGGTGGTCTCCCACCCAAGCCCTAGCCAGGGCTGACTCTGCTTAGCTTCCAAGTTCTGAAGACTGAGCCGGCCTGGGTCCAGGGCACATTCATCATGACCATCAAGTAAAAGAGCCGTGTTGACTTCCATCCCTGGCTGGAGGCCTGCACCTTAGGTAGGCTCAAAGCCTACCCATTCCTCTGGTGGCGGCTGTTTCAAGGTGAGAACCCCCTGCAAACCACAATTTCCACCAGGCAAGGGTCTTTCCCAGTTTTTTGAAATACGAAACCAGTGCCAAGCTGGGGAACAGTACTCAGAAGAGCCACAAATCGCATATCAAAGAGCCACATGTGGCTCTCAAGCCACTGAGTGAACATCACCGCCTTAGACAAACTGCCATGGTTACAAACCATCACTTACTTGGCTTGAGGCAGAAACAGTATGTCAGTGGGGAGCTGTCCACTGGAAGGCACTGGTCCTCCAGGCAGGGAGAGCGGCAGGAGATGGAGAAGGGGGTAAGCACGGATCCTTGCTTCGGGGATACAGAACATACTGGGACGACAGGGGGAGGCACAGTGCTGACGACATAAGTTGCTTCGCCGTATTTGTGCTCATGTGTTGCTGGAAAGTTTAGAAAGAAGCAGCTGAAGATAAGGTCATATGAACACATGAAGCTGCTTTCTACTGAGTCAGACCTTTGGCCTATCAAGGTCAGTCTTGTCCACTCTGTCTGGCAGCAGCTCTCCGGGGTCCTGGTGGAAATCTGTCACATAATTCCTGCCTGAATTAGCTGACAAAGGGAGTTTTGACTCTCAAAAGCTCATCGCTTGAAAACCTTGTTGGTCTCTAAAGTGGTGCTGGATCTGAATATGGCTCTTTTACTGCAGAGCTACCCTCTGAAATGACCATTCCTGCCTTATCCTTTTAATTGGAGATACCTGGGATTGAACCTGAGACCTGCATGCAGGGGTAATTTCCTGCAGGAGCGCTCAGGAGCAGAGCTCCGGCAGTAAAGAGCCGAGGGGGCGGGCACATGCAACAAGCCCCACCCCCTGCTCCCAGCAGCCCTCAGTCAGAGCAAGAAGCAGCCAAGTAAGTTGCAGAGCCCCCCCCCATCCAAAACAGTCCAGTGGCACCTTTAAGACCAAGTTTTATTCAGGTACAAGCTCTCCCTCCTCTGTGAGGACAGATCTGCATGTCCCCCCCCCAATAGCTAGCAATCCAAAACAGTCCAGTGGAGCCTGAGCGGGGGGTGTTGCCTTCTGACACACTTCTGGTGATGTCAGGAGGTGTGGCATATGCAAATAAGTTATGCTAATGAGCTCATGTACCTCTTTTTCTACGAAATGACCCCTGCCTGCATGTGAAGCAGGTGTTCTGGATTACGTACTTGGGCACTTGCTAAAAGCATAGTCTATACTACAGCAGTATTGTACATTTCCATTCTTATCTCAGGATTCTTACAGCAGGCCATTGAAACAAGCTGGCTGGGGAGGTTTCCCAGATGTGCTGTAACTGCATCATTTTGAATTGCTAGATATGACACTGATGAAGACCAGTGGTTGACTTATCTGCATTTGGTGGGTGGGCCATTTATCTGATTTGGTAATGCTGCATCTGTAAGCTTTTGATAGCACTCTGTTCACCCTCCAGGGCAACCAGTTGGCTAATGTGTCAAAGAACATGCTGGACTAGATGTACCACTGGTTTACTGTGGCAGCATTCTTCTTATGTTCTTAAGTTTCCTCACTGAACAAGCAGGAATCTTTTGGCTACAGTAGTTAGAAGGGAATCCCTGCTTTATATCTTACAGGAATTGTCCAAATGCTGGTTGTCTCATACCTGTAACTTTAATTCTAAAAGCTTTTCCTTGGGCTTGCAGAAATGAATTGTTCAGCACCAACACCGTTGTGTCACTCTGAAGCATTGTAAGATTGCTCTGCCGGAAGCCATTCAAGCTACAGCCTGAAGGGAGCGGATTGGGCTGGGGAAATCAAACACAAGAGGAAAGAACATGGATTTTTAAAAAAGCAGACGTGTTTTGGTGAACTTCCTATTGCTTCTCCTAAAGAATCTTTCATTTTGATCTCTACACTAGATATGGCAAGGCATTTCACCCAGGGCTCACCTCACCTTTCTTAATTAAAAAAAGGAAAAAGTAGAACCAGTTTCTGGTAAGGCTGCCAATGCAGGGCCTTGAAGGGTGCCCTTCTGTCTCAAATGGTTGGGAAAACATGTGGATTGAATAAACTGGATTGATGAGAGTATCCAATCAACAATTATCTGAAGCAGAAGTTTTGCTTCCTGGCATCGCTTGGAGTGATGAGCCATTGAAGCCACTTCTGCACCGAATGCATCTTTTCAAGGAATGTGACTTCTGCTGGGTGAGGTACCTTTCTCTTCTGCGTGAACACTGGTGTTTCATCACTGCACCCCAAAACATGCTCTTTTAAAATGTGTCAAAAGCAAAATAACTGTCCTTCAAGAGCAGCCCACCCCCTGTGATTTTTGCATGAGCTGGTTTCTGAAGAAGGCAGTGACTCAAGCAGAGCCACAACATGCAGCCTCATTTCAGACCTAGTAATTCCATTGTGTCTCCGTACAGGGGAGGGCTTGAATGATTCAGTCACATGGCTGAATTACTTGACCCATGTTGGCTGATTGGAAGGAGAAAATGTCAGAGCTCTGTGGGTAGGACCTCTGACCTCACAGGACCCTCGAAGTACTTCTTTCTTGTGGCACACTAGCAGTTTTCTGGTAGAACACTAGTGTAGCCTGGCGCCAGATTAGGAATTGCCCCTCTTCAGAGTTTGTGTGTGCACGTCTACAGAATTTCTAGTGGAGGCAATGGGCTCACCTTTCTGCGGAACGTATTATCTAAGTACCACTTGTAGAGCGTGTCTTTTGACTCTGTCTCTGTAGAGACTCTAAGCACAACATCTTCAGAGGTATCCACTGGCTTGCAGTTCTTATTGCAGCTAGGAGGAATACAGGAGGTGTAATTATTTATTTATTTATTTATTTATTTTATCCTTCGGCTTGATATACTGCCCTAACCCCCGTAGGGGCCTCTGGGCGGTTTTCAGTTCTTGGGTGCTAATCACCTATATCGACCCTAACTACGGCCACACATTGGTACAAGGGGGGGGGGATTCCCTACCGACACCCTGGTGAAAGCATTCCTCGGCTCGGCTTCTTCTGGCTGCACGATGTCTGGTGCTCAGGCAGAGGGTGTGTACTCCGTCCACGTCAGCCACCTAGTTCTTTCACCGCTGGCCACCAGGGATCAGTCTGGCTCTGCTGCCGCCGCTTGCCGCCTTCCAGCGTTGCGCCTCCTCCTCCAATCGTCTGCCGCCGCTGCTCCGCTGTAGCCGCCGTTCTTGCCGCCGCCGCCGCCATTGCCGCTGCTTCTCCACACACCTCCATAGACGGAGGAGGGTGCCCCCCACCCTACTAAGGGTGGGTACCCATTTATCTACTCGCCGATAGATAGTTACTTGGCTTTCGAACCGCTGGGTGGGCGAACACGAGGACATACAAAAATGAAAGGATGCTTGCCTGCCAAATCCTTTCTAACATGGAGATTACATGAATATCATTAATTCTTTCAGCCTGAGTTTGCCAGCATTGGGGTTCTCCAACTTCATTTGAAAAGAGCAAGAGTCCTGTAGCACCTCAAAGACTAATGAAAAATGTGGCAGCTTTCATGAGTCACTGCTCACTTCCTCAGATACAGCTAAAATGGTAGGCCATCAGCCCTACTTCTTGGAAAGTGGAATGAATTCAGAAAGTGGAGTGATTTCCGCTTTCCAATAAATAGGACTGATGGACTCCTATTCTAGCTGTATCTGAAGAAGTGAGCAGTGACTCATGAAAGCTGCCACATATTTTGTTAGTCTTTAAGGTGCTACTGGATTCTTGCTCTTTTCTACTGCTACTCATCTTAATCCAACTTCATTTGAGTAAACCTTTTTAAGAACATAAGAAGATCCCTCCTGGATCAGACCAGTAGTCCATATAGTTCAGTTTCCTGTTTCATATATTGACAAACAAACAATGCATGGAGACCTTCTCCTGAGGCTGCCACTGAATCCCTAGTTTTGGTCACCATATCTCAGAAAGGATACTGCAGAATCGGAGGAAGTGCAGAAGTGGGCAACCAAGATGATTAGGAGACTCTGGAGCACCTTTCCCACGAGGAAAGGCTGAAGAGTCTGGGACTTTTCCGTTTAGAGAAAAGGCGACTAAGGGGAGACATGACAGAGGTTTATAAAATTATACACGGGGTGGCAAAAGTGGATTGAGGGGATGTTTTCTCATTCTTCCATAATATTAGAACTTGATGGTCAATAGGTACAGGACAGACTAAAGAAAACACTTCTTTACTCAGGGAGTAACTAAATTATGGAATTCACTGCTGGGGGGTGCAGTGATGGGTTCAAGCACAGATTGCTTTAAAAGTGGGTTAGACAGATTCATGGAGGAGAAGTCCATCAGTGGCTAATAGCCATGGGGACTAAAAAGAACCTCTGCATTCAGAGGCAGTAAACCTCTGAACACCACTTCTGGGAGGCAACATCAGGGGGAACGCCTCTATGCTCTCCAGGACAGGTGGTTGACCACTATGTGAAACAGGGTGATGGATTGGTGGACCATTGAATAGACCCAGCAGGGCACCTCTTGTGTTCTTATGGTCACATGCAATGCTCCCTATAAGCTGTGGAGACTTGTGAGCAAAAATTCTACGTTGTGAGCTACTGGCATTAAAGTCATGAGTGAGCAATTGGGTTACTGCATAAATTCGTTTGCTCTGGAGCCATCCTTCCTGAGCTAAGACAAAAAATGTGTGAGTCGAAGGCTAAAAACCTGTGAGCTAGCTCACGTTAATTCAGCTTAGAGGGAACACTGGTCACACTCTACTTTCTGACCCAACCCACCTGCAGAATAATAACTGAGCCTACAGCAGAACTGGGGCGTGCTCACCTTCTCTCCTAGCAAGCATCTCCACTTCATCATCTGACACTTTCAGAACCCCAGTAATAGAAGAAGGAATAGATGGTTGCACACCTGATTTGGAGGCTCAGCTCTTGTTTTGCTGTCAAGTAAAGGCATTGCTCATCCTGCTTTGTCTCCTTCTCTGGGGTTTGAACTGTAACTTTCACGGTCACTGCAGAGCTGGGAGGAGGCAAGCAGGTGGGCGGGATCCGTATCTCTCTTTGGTCGATGAGGATGGATCGCCGTTGAACACATTCTGTCCACTCAGGCCAGCAGTACCCTGAGAAGGCATTTTTTATTGGAAGCATTATCATTTTTAAAGTAAAAGAATTCCTTCCCTCATCCCTCCAGCACTCAACTCAGACACTGTGGTATGCTTTTTGCTGTGCCACAGCAAAGGAGGCATCTTTCACCCTGCAAAACAACCAGGGCTTTTTTGGTAGAAAAAGCCCAGCATGAACTCATTAGCATAATAGGCCACACCCAGCAGCAGACTCATTAGCATATTAGGCCACACCCCTGACAGCACAGTTTATTAGCATATTAAGTCACACACCCCATGTTACCAGAAGTGTGGTCATCCAGCCACACCCACCTTTTGCTTCTTATTCTGTTTACCTTGTTTGTTGTCAAAACCCAGGGCCTTTTTTTGTAGCAGGAACTCCTTTGCATGTTAAGCCACACACCCCTAATGTAGCCAGTCCTAATGAGTCTCTGCTGTTGGGTGTGGCTTGTTATGCTAATGAGTTCCTGCTGGGCATGGCCAGCTCGGGAGCCAGCCGGAACTTCGTTCCTGTGCGTTCCTGCCCAAAAATAGCCCTGAAAACAACCAACCTTCCTAGCCCCATATAAAACAAACCCATAACATTCTGTTGATGTTCATGCAGTGGGGGAAGCCTAGATCCACACGATGAGCCATTCTGCAGATACATAAAAGTATGCCAAACATACATTCATGCCAGAGTTCCCAGGGGTCCCCCACCTTGTTGAACCTGTGGAGCAGCACTGCAGAGGATATTTGGAGCTGCTTTGGGAGGCGGAGAGCAAATGTCTCTGGGGAGGGAACTCCATAATTTTGGAGCCAAGGCTGAGAGGGCTCTTTCTTGGGTTGCCACCCATCGGGTGCGTTCAGACGCGCCATTTGATCTGGTGTCGTGACAGTTCAGCAACAAATTTTATATGCACGATCACACAGTCAACATCTGCCACCTGTCCCCAGCCGTTGGTTTCCAGCTCAAAACCCCTTTAACCTGGAGTATTTTGTTACCAGGTCCAAAAGTGGGGTTTTCTCAGCTCTCCCGTTTAAAGCCACATTTCCCCCCTGTGTGATCGCTCCTCCGGTGTCAAGACACTTCCGGTTTAAACCCCATTTCAGCTCGAAAGCTGCCCGAGGCTTTTACTTTTCACCCGTCATTTTTTAATGCGTCAGCGGTGTGTGCATAGGCGGAGCTCCGCTACCGTGTTTAGAAAACCGACATTTAAACGGTCACTCGTTTTAGTGTTTAGATGAGTTAGGCCTCTCACAGAGGCCATTTTCGAGTCAAACATTTAAAGGGAAGTCTTTTGTTGGAGGGGTTGGTTTGATTCGCCCTGCTGCACATGCGCCATGGTAGTTTCGCCCGATTCTATGGATGAGTGCCAATGCGCATGCGCAAACTGAGGGGGAAAAACCCGCTGACACACGCTCCTGCACGTCGGTAGTGTAGATGCCGGGGAGCGATGTGACTGTGCGGTGAGGCGGGATAAGGGAGGTAAGTGTGATCGCGATTATCCAGATCAAAAATAATCGTGTCAGAACCAGACCAGTTTAAACCGCTCTCAGCACGCCATCTGAACACACCCATCTAGTCTCAGATGGTGGGACTCCTGAAGCAGAGCCTCCATAGATGGCTGTAGTGTCCAGCAATGCTCCCTCTAAGCTGTGGAGTCTTATGAGCAAAAATTCTACTTTGTGAGCCAGCTATTTGGCTACTGCATAAATTAGTTTGCTCTGGAGCCATCCCTCCTGAGCTAAGACAAAAATGTGTGAGCTGGAGGCTAAAAAACTGTGAGCTAGCTCACACTAACTCAGCTTTGAGGGAACACTGGCAGCCAGGGAGGTTCATACGGGAGTAGGTGGTTTATCTGGAATCCAATTTAGATGGGACTCAACCTAGGTAGTGGACATGGTTCCCCTGGGAATGTGGGTATAAAGTGCCATCAGGTTTCAGCCAACTTATGGTGACCCCAGTGGGGGACTTTCAAAGCAAGTGAGTAGCAGTGGCAGCTTGCCGTTGTCTTCCTCTGCAGATTCTTCCTTGGCGGACCCCCATTCAAGTGCTGACCCTGCTTCGCTTCCTAGATCTGATGAGATAGCACTATACCATGCCGCCTCCCAACCCCTTCTATGGGAATACCAGTCACAAAATGACTGCCACAGGAGGCTGCTGTGAAATCAAAATGCTGGAAGGGCTTGACAAAAGGTTGAAGCTTCCAAGAAAAACATCTTCCTACAGTGTAGGCAGCTGTTTCCGAGTGGATGCTCCCTGCAGACACCAACGTGACGCCTCCTGAGGTATTTTCTTGCCTGAAGGAACATTGGGATTAGCTGCCTCCTTTGGGGAAGAGATGCTTTGGGGAAGAAGCAAGTGGGCACCAGGAATCACACTGATGGGCAACATGATACCCTTGAGCAGGGGTTATTTCGTAGAAAAAGAGGTGCAGGAGCTCATTAGCATAACTCATTAGGATAACTTATTTGCATACGCCACACCCCCTGACCTCACCAGAAGTGTGTCAGAAGGCAACACCCACTGCAACTTACCTGACTGCTTCTTGCTCCTTGTGGCCCGAGGCTGCTGGGAGCAGGGGGCAGGGCTTGTTGCATGCGCCCACCCCCTGGGCTCTTTACTGCCGGAGCTCCGCTCCTGTGCGCTCCTGCAGGAAATGACCCCTGCCCTTGAGCACCACTTTGGGGGTCACTGACTTAAACTGCAACACACGTACCACAAGACCATGAGTAGAGAGAGGTGTTGCTGTCTTCAGGCCAGCCAAGACTAACCACTGCAAAGATGCCAGCATAGCGACTGGGCTTAATGTATATTCTCTTTTTCCCCTTGTTATCCTAAACCAGAGAGAAAAGTAGCCATTAGAGATGGTCATGGAGGCATCTCATCTACAGTGGTTTTCCATTTTTGTCTTGCTTCAGGGATCCCATTGCCATGTACTGAGGAACCCTTGCCAGTTGGCCACAGAGCCATGCCACGGGACATTCAGAGGTAGGTTCACACACTGCACAGAGGGTGCCACCTTCTCTCCGGCAGCTAAGCCTTTTAAGGGGGGGATGGGTGGCAGTGGAGCAGTAACTCCCTCTGGCTCTGTGTAGCCCTTCCAGAAACGACCATAGAGACACCGGTCAGTAGGGATGTGTGTGTCTTTGTGTGCCATCCAACTAGTTCACAAAGAAACAGCATTCTGAAAACTGGACCTTCAGGACCTAAACCCCACTAAGCTGCATGTTAAAATATTTTCAAGAGGAACTTCTCAGCTGTCTTCTTTCTTTTCCCACTCACTGTCTTGCCCAAGTCTTGCCGATACTCACAGCTTTGCCACCGATGCTGGTTTGCTGTCTGTCCTCAGGAGGTTCTGTTTAACACAAAGAATAAATCCGAGTTTTTAGCAGCAAGCAGGGGTCATTTCGTAGAAAAAGAGGTGCAGGAGCTCATTAGCATAACTTATTTGCATATGCCACACACCCTGACATCACCGGACGTGTGTCAGAAAGCAACACCCACCGCTTAGGCTCCACTGGACTGTTTTGGATTGCTAGCTATTGGGGGGGGGGGGAGTGTGCAGATCTGTCCTCGCAGAGGAGGGAGAGCTTGTACCTGAATATAAAACTTGGTCTTAAAGGTGCCACTGGACTGTTTTGGACCTGGGAGGGCTCTGCAACTTACCTGGCTGCTTCTTGCTCTGACTGAGGGCTGCTGGGAGCAGGAGGTGGGGCTTGTTACATGTGCCCTCCCCCTGGGCTCTGTACTGCCGGAGCTCCGCTCCTGTGCGCTCCCGCAGGAAATGACCCCTGGCAGCAAGTGTGTGGAATATACTGGTTCATTTCCTTATATGAATCATGATAGACTTCCCTGAGCTGTGGAGGGATCACAGTCATCAATGGAAGTGGCTCTCGTAAGGGTTAGGGTTGCATTTAGGGAGGAAGGGAACAGAGTTAAGTGCCCTGCTGCCTCCTGCCCTCCCCATCTGTTGTCTCTGCTGCAGCCTCTTCTCCCTGTTGTAGTGCATCATAGCTCTGCATCATCCCTCTCCCATACTATTTCAGTCCTGCCCCAAGTCACTGCTGGCCTACCTGACCACCTTTGCACTGAAAATCTGCCTGCCTAGCAGAACGTATTTTGACACTTGCAGTAATTGGGTCAAGTGATGATTTGTTCTGGGTAGGAAGAGGGAAGTACAAGGCTGCCATGAGACCTCCCTTTGCAGAGCCAGTGGTTTGCGTTTATTGTCCCAAGATGGTCATTTGATGTTTCATCACTGGGAAGCAATGACAGGAGATGGACTCCTAAAAAATGGGAACTTCTCTCGACTTTTAGAATGTGATAGTCATAAGATCTTGGAGAAGGTTACTGCCCTGTACCTAAAAGGAGAGAGCAGAGAAACAACAAAATATACTTCTAGATAGCCCTAGACAGATAGTTGGAAGTTTCTTGCTGGAATTAGCTGAAACTGGAGTTGCAGTCTTGAAAGACTACAAAAGTTAATCTCGTGGGATTTGCTTGCTGTAGTAGTGCTGGTTTGCTTCCACTATGGTCAGCCTATACATTCTAATTTTTTTCTTTAATTGAAATTAAATATCAGAAGACTCCAGTGCTCATCCAAACAAAATTAAATCCTGCAGTATTACTCCTGGGAACTCCCACTGTTTAGCAATTGAACAAATTTAGAGCCCAATGGCACCTTTAAGACCAACAAAGGTTTATTCGAGGCATGAGCTTTCGTGTGCACGCACACTTTATCAAATACATTAGAATGGCAGGCAAGGTTCAAACTTATAGCCAGAGATTGAACAGCAAATTAACATGCAACACAATGATGATCAAGATATGCAAAGTGACACTAAATAACGTTAAGGTTTAGCAAAGGTGAAGGGAAGCACCACAGATTATATATATATATACACACACACACACACACACACAAGGGGGGACCCGCGATACTCGCGGGGGGGCAGTCTCTCTCTTTCCCCCTTCTCTCTCTTCCCCCCAGTCTCTCTTTCTCTGTCTCTCTCTCTCCTCCCCCCCCGCCGTTCTCTCTCTTCGGCTCTCTCTCTCTATCTGGCACCATACATCTAATACCTTGTGAGCAATCAGACCGACGTACTGACTTAGTTGCCAGTTACCCCTCTCTCCCCCCGTCGGATTTTGGACGTGAATGGCGGTGACCTGAGGGATGAGGAGGAGCTTGCATCACACATGCTGACACCCCCATGACAGAAAAGGGGTCAGCCGTGCAGCCAGGGCGGGGCGTCAGCGGTGGGATGCGGACAGGTTCCATCCAGAGGCTGCCTTTGCAGTGGCAGTATTGGGACTCCAGGGGTAACTTTCTGTTCTGAGCAACAACGTCCGCTTAGCCTGACATGCCCCCGTCGACTTTCCCCACGTGACTGTCTCTCCGGTTCAGGGGAGGGAGTTGATTATCGAAGACTACAATTCCCAGAAGCTTCTGCTCCCCCCTTCCCTTCCCTTGGCCGCCGACCCCCTTCTCTTCTGGCCTCGCGCACGCGCCAAGCTGCCAAAACAGCCGCCCGCCGCCTCTGCGTGATGCCCTGCCGGCCAAGCACTTTCGAACCTGCTTTTTTACCTCTCCCCTCCCCCTCCGCACTTCTGCGATCAGAGCGATCAGATCGACTGTGGAACCGGTGAGTGTCCTCATTTCCACTCCCCTTTCCTCCATTTCGCTGCTCTCCCTCCTCCCCCCCAGCTCTTCTCTCTCCTCCCCCCCTCCTCTCCCGGCTCGCCGCTTGCCTCGCTGCTCCAAGCGGCTGCAGCGTTCGCAGAGCGTCTCCTGCGCACGCGCAGGAGACGCTCTTGCACTTTTGGGGGGATTTAAACATCCCTCCGAAAATTTTTTCAACTTTTTTTATTTTTGTGCACACGTGGGGACTGGCCCACGTGTGCACCAACCTCCCCCGGCCCCCCAGCTGCCCCCGGAGCGCTGATTTAGCGATCCGCACTCTGGGAGCAACTTCGCTATTAGATATATAGATATATATGCGCATTACGACGATGTCTTAAGAATGTTTTGAGCTGCCTCGGCATTTTTACACCGAGACCATCTATATAGATTAGAAAAAAAATTAACATTTAAATTAAAATGCTTATTTTAAAAAAGTGTTTCCTCATAATATAATTAATCAGCATGGCTGAAAACCTTAATTGATGCACTTATAGAAGGATATCGGTTGGATGTTCCACCTGTAAAAATGCCTGCGGCAGCTCACAGCATCCTTGAATCACCATCACAATGCAGTCAACTAAATACACAAAAATAATTTGAATGTCAAGGAAAGTATCAGACTGAAGCAGTGACCAAACAGTAGGGAAACATCCAACCATGAGGGCTGTTAAAAGGAACATCTAAAATGAGAAGACATTACTTTCATTACCAGAGCTGTTGGGCGAGATGGTGACCGTTCCTACGTCAATGCTCATGTTTGAGAAGGCATTCAGGGCAAGCACCTTGACTAGAAAAGTACCTGAAATGAACACATTAATTATTTTAAATAGGGACAATAGGTATTATCAAATCCATTGGTGTTTTACCACCCCTTTGCAATAAATAATTTCCCCCCTTCCTTCTAAAAATTAAAGGAACTTCAGTTGGCCATGAAATGGATGGGGCTGAAGGACAGGAGTTTCACAGACAATTCGGCTACTTGCTATTTGCAGTCTTGACCCGTGTGTGCTCAGTTTGCACACTATAAAATCAACCCATAACAGGCTGTATGCAGATGATTTGGGGCTAGTTTGGTAGCATGCACAAGAATCTTCAACAAATCTCTGTTGCATAGCGGTTCTCAATCTGTGGGTCGCAACCCCTTTGGGGGTCGAATGACCCTTTCACAGGGGTTGCCTAAGACCATCGGAAAACACAAATTTTCGATGGTCTTATGGTTGGGGGTCACCACAACATGAGGAACTGTATCAAAGGGTCGCGGCATTAGGAAGGTTGAGAACCGTTATCAGATATCCTCTTTTTAGAGGACATGTCGTCTTTTTTTTTGTGTCCGTCCTCTTTTGGGCTCTTTAAAAAAAAAAAAAAACTGATGAAAAGCTCCTCTTTTGGGTTGGAAAGTTAGGAATACTCCTCGTTAGTAGCAATTATCACAGCTTAAATAGTGGGGCTATTTAAAAATGAGATTTGTCATAGTGATCAGTTGTTTGAACTAGTCAGTCGGGAAATATGTCCCTTTTTTTTTGCTTTTCAAAATATGGTAAGCCTCATGTTGCATCAAAATAGCACGAGGTTGCTCAGACTGGTAGGAATCACAAGTGGTTCTCCAGGTTGCTGAGTCTCAAAATGTTACTTTTGAGTCATTTGACTACCAAATACACTCACTGCCCTTTTGTCCCAGCAATGCTCCTGAATGGCCACTGGAGATCTGATTGTCTGTGCAGATCTTTTACAATGTTGCTTAGGCGGCAGCACCACCACAACACAAGAATCTTCACTAGGTGACTGAAGGTGTAATGAAGAAAATATTTTAATGTGTTAATTTTAAAAAGCATCCTGTTAAACAGAGCATCTGCCTGAAATGGTGAAGAGTGATTGTCAGAGTTATGCACAGCCTCTCTCCCTGACTTTTTGTGGTTGGTTTCATCTCCTGTAGCATCCATTTTGTGGTTGGCTCTTCCTCCCACATCAGCCATTTTGTGACTGTGCTCATCACCCTGCACCAGAATTCCAAATGCCTGCTGCCTCAAAAAGCTGGGGACCCCTGATTTAGCTAATCAGATGACAGAGTCTTACTGTGTGCTGTAGCTGAGCCTAACAGGCAAATGTAAGAGCCAAAAGCTCAATCTAGCTAGCATTCAAACATGATTTTCAAGCATTTTTGACACACTGAGTTTTACATGACCCTTGTTATATTCTTCAGAATGGTAAAGAAACTAGGGGTGCCAAGTCCATCTTCCACCCCCAGCGGGGGACTTTGGGGGTGTTCCTGGAGGGGGTGGGGCAACCCTGACGTGATGACGTCATGTTGGGGACGTCTGCTGCCCCCCCCCCGCCCATGCGCCAGATCTCCAGAAACGGCAGTTCTCTGCACTTAAAGGAGCCGGCGTTTCCCTTTTAAATGCAGGAGCCGGCGTTTCCCCTTTAAGAGCAGCCGCGTTTCCATTTTAAGAAGCTGGCGTTTCCCTGCAAGCTTGCTCCTTGAAAGAGGTGGCAGCGTTCAGAGGGGTGAAAGCGCTGCTGATCTCAAATGATGCGTTGGCCCACTTTGATGAATCCCTCCCGGTTGTCCTAGCATGCGACGCCTCCCCCTATGGTTCCACACACTTAAAGGGAGAGAGATGGGTGGCTGTGGGTGTTGGGGGGGGGCTTCCCCCGCCGGCCATCTGGCCGGGGCCGGGTAGAACCCCCCCAAAAAACGGGGGACCCCTGGCAAACCGGGGGGGTTGCCAACCCTAAAAGAAACACAGGTATCACTCATAATCCTACTGGTAAACATAATCGTTCAAGGCAGTTACATTCATGTCCTTTGATATGGCAGTACCTTCATATTTCACTGGAATACTGTAGGTTTTGTTTTCTCCTTCAGGACCATCCTTCAGGTGCAAGAAGGTTTCATTTGATCCGGTCACCTCAAACCTGAGCTTTTCTGGTTTTCCGTGAGGTGCAAAGACCTCGATCTCCAGATCTTCTCCTAATTTCACAGAGCTGGAGGTTAGCTTGGCTTGAAGACCACTGATTGGCTCAACTAAATGAACGGTAAGGCCTTCTGAAATTTCTGATTCGGTGGTGTTGCTGGAGGCAATGATTTTGAGGTGATGTACCCCAGGCCCAAGCAGCTGTTGAGATGTGATATCCAAGGTCAGATTGTGAGGAACTGTTCCCAACTTGGCACTGGACTCCATCACAGTTTTGTTATCCACTACCACGGTGTAAGTCACCCCACTACCTGAAAAGTAGAAGAAAAGCTTTCCAGAGGGTACAGAGGGTACTAAAGATAACAGTGAAGTCTAATTTGTCATTATGTGGGAATCCTCTATCATTCCCACCCTCTCTTTCCAGTTTAAAAACAAGTAGTGTGATCACACCAATGGTATTTCCTGAAGTGGTCAGACACAGGGAGGGGAAAACAAACTTGACCCAAAAACTGGAATCAAGAACCACAAGGGTAAGAAAGAAGCCTGATAAAGGGCCAATATTAAAAACCTGGTATAAACTTATTATATACAAAAATACATGAATTTATTAGAAAGACAGGTAAAAACAAATAAGGGCCCAATAAAGGCCTCATTACAAAGTGCAAGTGGCCTGAACACAAGGGCCAATATAAGTTCCCTGACACGTTTCCATCCCTTGGGGGCCTTCTTCAGAGGTCAAACAGTTTGAGGTACAGGTAGACACATGTTACAATATTACATATTACAATGAAATAACCAATAAGTTAATACTGGACCAAAGAAAGGAAAGTTAAGCAGCAAGATTAATAGACACAAGACAAGGATGTTTATGAGGCCTCTAAAGATGAGAGTCATGTGTCTGGTGCCAAATGCACAACTGCTGAATTAGAACATCTTCCAATTCTGGTCCAGAAAATACCTATCTGACTGTCTTAGTCAGAACTGGAGTGTTATTTGTGGACACTCCAGCTCTGACTAAGATAGTCACATCAGTAATTTCCCAAAGTGGACCTTCTTTTTTTAAAAGAAGATGTCCATTTATAGAATGGTTTAGGAGATGTGAAAAGTTAAGAGAGTCAACATGGGGGGGGGGCACAGTGAGAGTGGAGAAGGAACAACACCCCTGATCTGGTTTTAGTTTAGCTTTGTTTGTTTTTTTAAAAAAATACATAAGAAGCTAGTCCTCATGTTTCCCATGTCACATCTAGTCCTGCTCTTAGTTTTTAGCTAATGGGATAGATAAAGTTAACGTCACAAAGACAACTCTTTTGAGAAAGCTTTTGCAGAGGCCAAACCCCAAGGATTCTTATTAATGCCTGCCCAATTTATGCTTGGCAAGACTGCCTCGGTCAAACTGCTATTGAACAGGGAGAAAACGGCCACTCTGACCTCCGTTAAGTGCCACTTGGATCCATAACGTTTCCTTGTAAAGAGTCCTGCAATGAGAGCCATTCCCAGATTCAGACTGGCTGAAGCAGCCCGTGACAGTAAGCTCATCCATTTTATCTTGGACGGTTATAAGCGTTTGGGCCGTCACATGCCATTCACTGGTTGTGCATTCCACAAAGATGGTGAATTCACCCGGAGAGGCATAGCTGTAGGTCACGTTGCTAGACAAACTTACAAGACAAAATGGACCATGTTAGAGCAGTGAAATATAGAAACACTGAGCAGAAGCCCTGACTAGTGGACTTTTTGCACTATTCCATGGAGATTCACCAACCACGGTATACTAACAAGGATCTTTCCCCATATTTTAAGGCACTAGACCTGAGTTTGCTTATGAGTATATACACAATAAGGAACAGTAGAAAAGAGCAAGAGTCCAGTAGTAGCAACTTATTTGTGGTAGGGTATGAGCTTTCGTGAGTCACTGCTCACTTCTTCAGATGAAGCTCATACCCTGCCACAAATTTTGACCCATTCCGCAAAAGCAGTTGTTGCACCCTCGGTCTCCTGTTTCCCCCGGTTGTACTCCTCGATTTCCCACTATTTGCTGAGCAACTGCATTTTGTCCTGCATCTTCCCAAGATTTCTCCTGCGTCTTCTTGATCCTTATATTTTAGGAAATATAGGGGGGAGGGATGTAGATCAAAATGCAGCCACCCAGCAAATAGTGGGAAATTGAGGAGTACAACCAGGGGCAACGGGAAGCAACAACGGCTTTTGCGGAAACACTGGCTGCTAGTCTTTAAGGTGCTACTGGACTCTTGCTCTTTTCTACTGCTACAGACAGACATAAGTAACACAGCTTGATCTTGATCTATATCACAATAAGGAGCTGCTACCAACTCTAGCTCTCTGGCGTGTATTTCCAAACACAAAATTGTTCCATTCACATGATACATTTTAAGTGGTCAAATCTTTGATGTACACTCACAAATTATAGTGTATGTAGCTGTCCCTATTTCTGCAGAGGTGAAAATAATTTCTGATCGAAGAGGGGGAAATGTCACATGTAAACCGGCCCTTAGTGGGTGCCCAGATGAATGGAAAAGTTGAGTTCAATACTGAGAAATGCTTTAAAAGATCAAAACAATTCCCCAGCTTTTCTCATAAATACAGCTATTGGCTTCAGCGCAGTCGTTTGCAGAAAATCCATAGCATATCAAAGAGTACAGAGCTCCCTATTCTCTTTAAACTGATGAGAGATTAACGATGCAGTTCTAAACAGAGTTGGAGCCTTCTAAGCCCCATTGACTTCAATAGACTCAGAAGGGTGCAACACTGCTGAGGATTGCCGTACAAGGCTGCCACAAGATGAAATGGAAATAAATGTTTTAATGGTTGTGTACTAACATGTACATACATATGAAGTTGCCTTACACAAAACATTCATCTGCCTAGCCCTGTAATGTCTCTTCCGAATGGCAATAACTTCTCAAAGGCTTTCCTCAGTCCTTTGAAATAAAGATGCCCAGGGTTGAACGTGGGACTTTTAAAGTCCAAGGCACATGATCTACCACTGAGCTGCATGGGCCATAGACTTTCCCTTGGGACTAAAAGCCTACTGAACCAATTGTGACCCATTTGCGAGTGAACATGGATGGAACGGGGCTGCATGTCCTCTTTCCAACTGCATGGCACAAGTTGCATTCTTACCAGGCTACCACTTTGTTTTAGATTTTATTTTATTGCTTACAAGCAAGGTAGCTGTGTTCTGTGGAAATACACACACACACATATAAATAAATTATTTTGCTGTCAAGTCACAGCCAACTTATGGCGACCTCATGGATTTTCAAGGCGATGCTCAGAGGTGGTTTGTTATTACTAGCCTCTGTGTAGCAAACCCAAACTTCCTTGTAGGTCTCCCACCCAAATATTAACCAAGCTGACCTTGCTTAACTTCCAAGATCTGGCAAGATCCAGCTACCCTGTGCTATTCAGGTCAGGGCGTATAAATGATAGACATCTGAAATAATGAAGATGCAAGCTTATAGGAACACTTCTCAACAAATATTGAAATTTGCAGTTCCTCTTTACTTGCCAGTAGCCAAAATACTAACTTTTTTTCATTTTCATTATACCTACAGTTGAAATAACCAGCTGCGTGTATGAATTTTCTTTTGCTTAAAGTATCCTTGACAGCGTAGAAGCTGTTGGTTTTAAAAAAGTTTAAAAAACAGCCCATATAACTGAAGCAAGATCTTAAACTTTGCTTAATCGACTGAAGACGTTTCAGCTTACGTTGGCGGGTAGTAAGGATCGATTGTGTTTCCATCTCCCATGCTAATGATGCATGAGAGATTGCCGGAGTAGGGAGAGAGAAGCCATTTAAATGAGATGGTGATATTCTCAAAAACAAAGCACGTCTCTGTCACAGCCAGTCGCAAGCCTGTAAAACAACACACAGAACGGCTACTGTCACCATCAATATGCATTTGTGAAAAAGTCAACAGTTGTTTCCCTTGTTTCGTATATGTATATCCTGCTTTTCAGGCCCACTGTCTCCCAAATCAGCTCACATCAATCAAGAGGGGCAGGCTCTGCCCTGAAAAACTGGGGGGGGGCGGGGCACAGGATACATAAAGAGGAGGAGGGCTGTGCATTCAAATCTTGGTATTTTTCAGGTATATTGGTATTTTTCTGGTATATTTCAGCTTCCCAAACTGGAAAAAAATCCCAAGAAAATCCTGGATATATTTAGGAAGTACTGGTAGAACTGAAAACTGGGGAGAAGCGGGAGCAATCTGCTTCCACCTCTCAGCTGTTTGTCAGGCTTCAACTGTAATCCCTTTAAAGTTTAAAGAGATTGCAGAAGACAGCCAGAGGATCAGCTGTGCTGGGGGGAGCAGACTGTTCCCACTGACTTGGTGTAGGGCTGGCTTCTCATGCAGCCCTGTTTAAACTAGGCTGCTGGAGAAGCTAACCCCAGAAGCTGCTGTGCCGCAGGAAGCAATCTGCTAGCCCAGCACAGCAGATCCTGGGGCCAACTTCTCCTGCAGCATGGTTTAAACCAGGAGAAGCCATCCCAGCCAGGTCTGCTTACGTTGGGGAGAGACCTCCCTGCGGCACACAGATCCTGGGGCCAGTTTCTCCTGCAATGCTGTCATCTATCAGATTTTATACCTTCTAGCTACTGTGCATGCTCACCTACAATGGAGCATGCTCAGTGACAGGACCAAGATGAAATGTGGGGGGGGGGGGGGGTTGGATTTATACCCCACCCTTTACTACCTGGGGGAGTCTCAGAGTGGTTTACCATCTTGTTTCCCTTCCCCTCCCCACAACAGTCACCCTGTGAGGTAGGTGGGGCTAAGAGAGCTCTTTGGAGAACTGCCCTTAAGAGAACAGTTCTGAAACAACTTGTAATTGACCCATGGTCATACCAGCAGCTACATGTGGAGGAGTGGGGAATCAAACCCGGTTCTCCTAGATTAAAGCCCAGTTTGGTGTAATGTTTAGGATGTTGAGCTAGTATGTTGTAGTAGCTAGAATGCTGGGCTAGGCTCTGGGAGGCCCAGCATTCAAATCCCTGCTGAGCTGTGAAGCTCACTGGGAGATATTGAGCCAGTTACTCTTTCTCTCTTTCAGCATAACCTACTTGACAAGGTTGTTGTGAGGATAAAATGAGAAAGGGAGAACCATGTATGCCACTTTGAGCTCCCTGGAAGAAAGGCATGATGTTTTATGAATAGTTCTTCTGCTTATGCTTAATGAATTGCACTTTAATGGCTTGCATTTTAATACTGTGTTTTTAATTGTAAGCTGCCTCAAGCAGGACTCTGAAGAGGTGGCATAGAAATTAGATAGACAGACAGACAGACAGGTAGATAGATGATAGACAGACAGACAAACAGAGGGAGAGAGAGAGAGAGACAGACAGACAGACAGACGGATGGATGGATGGATTCCTTATACGGAGTGAGACCTTTGGTCTATCAAGATCGGTACTGTGTACTCAGACTGGCAGTAGCTCTCCAGGGTTTTAGGCAGAGGACTTTCATATCACCTACTGCCTGATCTGTAGAACTGGAGGCGAGGAGGATTCAACCTGGGACCTCCTGCATGCCAAACAGATGCTCAACATCTGAGCCATAGCTCCACTGCTTACTGTTGCTGCTTTTGAGCTCAGTGTGCAGTACTGAAGGAAGGCTGTTGGTGGCTCTGACACTCTAAAGGGCCAATTAATTATGGCCATATGTGGAGGTCACTGAAACATGTTTTTCTGTGGCCCTGTGGTGTGAGTGCTGCTTACCTTCCATGCAGTGGTACTGAATAGACAGGTAGCTTCCCAAACCTGGACAAGGATCTCCAAAGAAGGTTCCATCAGCTGCCACTTGACACGCTTGGAGCCCATGGCATTGCCCTGCAAGGTTTGATTTGACAGTGAATGACACAGCGATGATTGGGGTACCCTTCTATCATGCCCAGATCTAGTTCCAGCTGAGAATCACCACCCTAAGAAACATTCATGTTGAACTTCAGTGTCACTTACATTGGAATATCCTGTTCTGGGAACCAACTTTGGGGTGAAAAGTAGGACAAAATGACCATGATGTAAATATCTGTCTTGATTATTACAAAACTGATCCAGTTGACTACTTAATTACATGGAATTTCCTCCTTGTGACTTGCACACACCCCTTTTAAATCTTGTTGGAGATCACGCACAGTGCTGATGCTCTCAGGCAAGGCTCTCAAAATTTGTGGAACCTATGGAAATGCTGATAAAGTGTAGCGGGCATCAACAAAAAACGGCTGCCACAGAGAGGTTTCCAGGCCCAGAGGCACAGGGAACTCTGTGTCTATGGCCAAACCAAGGGCACATGGTTGTGACGCACCTTCCCAGGATAAGTCCAGCACTTTGCTGAGTCAATCAGTTGGTACAGAATGTCCAAAGTTCCCTGTTTTTCCCCCCTGTTCCATCCAGGACCCTTTGGATTTTATCCCTCAAACCTCTAAAAGTTCCAGGAAACGCACTGGCAGGTGCCCTGTTGGGGATTGCTGCTTGCATGCATTCCTTACCTGCGACTTCATCCTTTACACTGATCCAGCTACATTCGTCTTCCACATCAAACTGCAAGGGAGTCTCCAGCACACAGTAGTGGGGAGTTTTCCGTCCATAAAAACTGTCCCCAACCTGAATCACGTCTCCTGATCCGCACTGTACTGTTGCATTCATGTTGTCACAAGCCATACTGTGGCCTGATTCTAAAAGAACAAGGGCACTATCATTGGTTAAAAGGCTCTTAATTATTTACTATATGTCATCTGGGTGTTGGAAATAAAGGCAAGTTCTAGGCTTAGGGCCTTCTTTCTTAAAGCCGCCCTTCACATACCTTGGCTTAAGCAAAGTAATTATTAATTACAACAGGGAAAACATAGTTTTGCACAGAGGGTATGGTACTCCCCGCCTCCAAGCTCCTTTCCCTTTCCAAACCAAAGATCCAGTAGTCATTGTCTCAGAAGCGTTGTTTTCTCGTTGGAGCTGGTCCAGCCACAGTCGCTCAGAAGCAGGCCTTTAGTGGGAAGGAAAGTTCTCAGGGCCTCCCTCCTCACCACCCAAGAGAAAAAAGCAGCTTCAGTTCAAAGATAGATGGGCTGGGGGCTAACCTCCTCCAGAAGAAGTGATTTCCATAAAGGGATGGCCTGCACCAGACAAAAACTTCTTCAGCTGAGGACCTTCAGCAATCCAGTCCTTGGAGAGGAAAAATGACTAGGCATCATGCTCCACACCCAGCTGCCAGGAAGGA